AGCAGGAACTCAGTAGCGTTGGGTGGACATTTTGTTTCATTCCAGATTAAGGAGAAAAAACAGAACTGTCTTTCCCTCCAACCCCACCAGAAAAAAAAAAAAAAAAATAATTAGATTAAAATAAAATAGAAAACAGACTGGAGTGTAGATGTTCCTGATGAAAAATGCAATGAGACTGATATGTGGGTGGTCTTTGTTTTCACTGAATTGTCACTTTTCCAGTGCAAATTGTTTGGTCAAAACAGAACAAAACAAAACAAAACTGGCTAGTTTGACACTTTGTGAGCTGTGGAATCAGGGCTGTATTTGCTTAGAAAGGGTGGCTTAGGGTGTGAGAACCTTTCATGTTGAATGAAAGCATCTTAGGAAGAAGTCACAAATAGATTTTTGGAGATAATTTTTACAGGAAACCCAGACTTTTATCTTCTCATTTTCAGGTTGTTTGGAAGCTGGAATTGTTACCCTGTCAGAAGGGTACAATGAACTGTTGACACACAACCATGTTTTGCTTACAGCTAAGTTCAGGGAGGTATCTACAGCCAGGAACCAGTGAAAAGCAACCTGAAAAATAGAAGTACTTACTGTGAAGTTTGTACCATTTCTCTGGGTTCCTGTCTTCAATGCACATTTATGAAATAAATATATTTCTTTTATATGAAGAGCTTAGAATGCTTCAGCCAAACACTAGATTTCATTTTAAGAGAGAAAACTTTGATTACTGTGTGTGACAGATGGCTGTGGCTGGTTGCTTGCATTGGTTTTGTATTTTCAATATTCACAGGAGAAATTTTCCCCCCATTTGCTCTTCCTCAGTAGCCAAATTCAGGAGAAGGTGCCAGTTTTGCATTTCTGTTGTTTGTAGTGGAACTGGAGGTTGACCTGACATTCAGCAGGGTACTGGGGGTGTTGTTCAGTTTAAGATTAGGACACTGGAGTTTAGGTGTTTACATGAAAGCAAGTATCCAAGTTCCCGTAGTAAGTAGAAATTTGGTCAACGCAGTTGGTGACAGACTCAGGATCTGTCGAGGTGTAGCTCCCACTGGCTATGTTAAGAAGGAGCTCAGCTTGCCCACACACAGGTGGTTCCACGAGACAGCACAGCTTCCACAGCACTTTTGCTGGGGGCTGCTTGATGTGCTGCCGGACCTCTGTGTCCTCGTGGAGGCCAGGCAGTAAGCCGTACTATGTCTTAAATGGCATTAGAAATCTCTCTGTGAGTAGCTGAACTGAGCCCTAGATCCCTGCATACCACATGGGGAACACAGGTAGCTGTCTCACGGGTGGAGGCTCAGGTCTGAGTGCCTTAACTGGGAACTGAACCAAGCTGTGATCTGTGTGTTGCCTTGGAGCCTTCTGATCCTCAAAATTTCACCACACTAAAGTTGTCAATGCACAAAAAAGTATCTGTTTGCAGTTCTTTGATTCTGGGAGCCAAATTCCAGTATGAGTAACTGCTGGACAATGCAAGTGCATGGTGCAACTGAGAAGACATCTTGACTTCAGAGAGCTGGGTCTTGCCACAGTTCCTGTTATTCTTGGAGCCAGGGATTTAGAGCAGCTGAGGCTTTACCTCAGTATAAGTACACTTCTGGAAAAACTGAGTATTTGCTCAGGCAAAATAAAATTGTGGTATTTTAATTAATAAAGACTTGGCTATTTGTTTTGAAGTTACTCAGTAAGATGGTTGATGGGACAGTTTCCGACTTTAGTTACATCACAGAATCACAGAATCACAGAATGTTTGGGGTTGGAAGGGACCTCTGTGGGTCATCTAGTCCAA